GAGGGTGTCCTGACAGGCACTGCTGCCACCGAGACCTACCCACCACCACCAGCCGACACCATGCTGACCGCCGAGGACAAGAAGTTGATCGCCCAGGCCTGGGAAAAGGTGAAAGCCCATAAGGACGCTGGAGCTGAGTCCCTGGAGAGGTGCGGACTGGGACTGGGGACCCCAAGGGACTGGAGGGCCAGTGGGTGGGACCCCCATGGGGGGGCTGATGGAGGGGGTCCGGCTGAGGGTCAGCAGCAGCAGCACTGACTGTCCTGCTCCGGCAGGATGTTCATGTCCTACCCCCAGACCAAGACCTACTTTCCCCACTTTGATCTGCACGCCGGCTCTGAGCAAGTCCGCAACCATGGCAAGAAGGTGCTGAACGCCCTGGACAGTGCCGTCAAGAACATGGACAACCTCAGCCAATGCCTGTCTGAGCTCAGCAACCTGCACGCCTACAACCTGCGTGTTGACCCTGTCAACTTCAAGGCAGGCCGGGGATGGGGACCGGGGAGCGGGGAGTGGGGAACGGGGAGTGGGCTGGGTGGCCAGGGGCCATAGCGGTGATGCTGAGCCTTGTTTTATCTTGCAGCTGCTGTCCCAGTGTCTCCAAGTGGTGATGGCTGTGCACCTGGGCAAAGACTACACCCCCGAGGTGCACGCTGCCTTCGACAAGTTCCTGTCAGCCGTGGCTGCTGTGCTGGCTGAGAAGTACAGATAAGCCATCACCCGTGCCCTGGTACAATCAATAAAGACACCTTTGCTGCAGCACCATGTGTGTCTCTGCCGTGGCCGGGGGGCTGGGGTGGGCTGGGGTGTCGCAGTGCTCCCATCACAGAGAGGGAGGGAGCTGCCGGTGAGGCCGGCCATGGTACAGGGGGGCAGCACTGGCTGTGGGCCCCCTTGGTGCCCCCCCAGGGCTCTGACTGCTTCCACCTGTCCCCAGCTTGGGATACGGCCGATGCTGGTAGTGGGACACAGCGAATGGAGTTCAGCCTGTTGCCTCTCCGTGCCTGCATCCTTCTGGGCAGCAAGGGAGAAGGTTGCTCTGAGCCAAATGTGGTTCTTGCATCCCCTTGAAGGATTCTCCAGGGGAAATAGGATTAACCCCTCCTGGCTCCATCGATCATCATGGCTGTGTAGGACTTTATTGCTGTGGGAGCTAAGTGCCTGCATGCACTCTGCAGGCAATCAGAGAAGATGATGGAGTTAAAATAATCCATCACAGACCATGAAGCATAAATGCTGCTCTTGAGCTCAATCCCCTTAGCCACAAATCCTGGGTCACTGCCAGGGAAGTGCCCCCAGACCTGGCCCAGCTGTCTGCTCTTCCCCAGGGCACCCTGGCAGCGTGGGGGGAGTGGGGTGGGCAGAGACAGTCTGGCACAGGGCCACTGGTTTCAGGGGTTTGGAGGCTGAATTTAAAAATAATTATTGTCTTTAGATCACAGATGATGGGTTAGAAGATCATAGAATCACAGACTGG